ATGTATGTAATGTAATGTAATGTAATGTAATGTAATGTAATGTAATGTAATGTATGCATGGTATGGTATGGTATGGTATGGTATGGTAATGTATGGTATGGTATGGAATGGTATGGTATGGTATGGTATGGTATGTATGTATGTATGTAATGTATGCATGTATGTGTGTATTTATGCATGTACGTGATGTAATGTATGTATGTATGTATGCATGTATGCATGAAATTATGTATGTATGTAATGTATGTAATGTATGTAATGTATGTAATGTATGTATGTATGTATATATGTATGTATGTATGTAATGTATGTATGTATGTATGTATGTATGTATGTATGTATGTATGTAATGTATGTATGTATGTATGTATGTATAGCATATGTATGTATGTATGTATGTATGTATGTATGTATGTATGTATGTATGTATGTATGTATGTATGTATGTATGTAATAACGTACTTATGTATGTATATATGTATGTATGTATGTATGTATGTATGTATGTATGTATGTATGTATGTATGTATGTATGTATGTGTATATGTATGCATGTATGTATGTATGTAGTGTAGTGTAGTGTAGTGTAGTGTAATTGTGATATAATGTAATGTAATGTAATGTAATGTAATGTAATGTAATGTAATGTAATGTAATATAATGTAATATATATTTGTATGCATGTATATTATGTATATTATATATACTATGTATATTATGTATATTATGTATATATATATGTATGTATGTAATGTAATGTAATGTAATGTAATGTAATGTAATGTAATGTAATGTAATGTAATGTAATGTAATGTAATGTAATGTAATGTAATGTAATGCATGTATGTATGCATGTATGTATGTATGTAAGTATGTATGCATGTATGTATGTATGTATGTACATGTATGTATGTAAATGTAAGGTAAGGTACGGTAATGTAACGGAATGTAATGTAGTGTATTGTAATGTAATGTAATGTAGTATGTATGTATGTATGTATGTATGTAATGTATGTATGTAATGTATGTATGTATGTATGTAATGTAATGAAATGTAATGTAATGTAATGTAATGTAATGCAATGTATGTATATATGTATGTAATGTATATACGTATGTATGTATGTATGGTATGGTTTGGTTTGGTATGGTATGGTATGGTATGGTATGGTATGTATGTATGTATGTATGTATGTATGTATGTATGTAATGTATGCATGTATGTGTGCATTTATGCATGTACGTGATGTAATGTATGTATGTATGTATGCATGTATGTATGTATGTACGTATGTATGTATGTATGGTATGGTATGGTATGGTATGGTCTGGTCTGGTCTGGTCTGGTCTGTATGTATGTATGTATGTATATTATGTACGTATGGTATCTATGTATGTCTGTATACAAATGTATATATGTAGGTATGTATGTATGTATGTGATGTAATGTAATGCAAGGTAATGTAATGTAATGTAATGTAGTTCAATGTATGTATGCATGTATGTATGCTTGTACGCATGCATGTATGTATCTATGTATGAATGTAGGTACGTATGTATGTATGTATGTATGTATGAATGTAGTTTGTATGTATGGTATCTAATGCTATGTACTGGTATGAAATAGTGTAATGGTATGGTATGGTATGGTATGGTATGGTATGTAATGGAATGTGATGTAATGTAATGCAATGTAATGTAATTTAATGTAATGTAATGCAGTAGATGGATGGATGTATGTGTATGAAGAAGGGCATCATCAACGGGCGTCAACATGATTTTATGTGAGCGACGTTTTTTTTCTGTCAGGTGTAGTGTTAGTTGGGAGGGAGGGTACATGGCACCATGTCAACAGGTGTTATTTGACGTCAGCTATGTTTTTGTGGGCTTCACTTTTGCAGGCCTACATACCACCCAAAGGGGCTCACAACGTCCTCACTTCAAGTGTTGCAGAGGACGAGACGAGTGTCTGCTCGGACCCATCCACACCAGCACGCCGTCGTCGAAGGCGTTCGGGGCGGGAAGTTGAAGGGGGGTCGAGCCTCATGCCATCGGGTCCCATTCGCAAGTCCAATTGAGATCTTGGACCGATTGAATGAATGCAACTGGACAAAGCCAGCACCCATTTTTTTCTTGAGTTGGGGGCGGGTGGGATAGGCTCCTGAGATGCCAGGGTTTGAGAATGACTCACTTGAGTGTGTCCAAAACAGGGACGCCCGTTTTGGAGCTCGTTTCGGAATGAAATGACATCCAAATCACATCTGCGTATTTGACAGGTGATGGCCATAGTTCATTTTGGGATATCGGGTCTGCGAACTTATATTTGCACAGAGAAGCGAGATGCTGGAAGAGTCAGAGTCTGTACCACTTTATTTATGCCCGCCAAATGAGGGTCTGTCTTCGTTGTTTCAAAGGGGAACCCAAAGAACTTGTTTTTCCTTTTTGTTTTGGGGGTAAGTTTCCCCATTTGAGACAGCCTGATGAAGCTTGAGCCCATGAGGGACCCTGGCTCACAAATCATGAGACTCTACAATCTTCACACGTAGAATTTGCACATTTCGACCGTCTCAGATGTGCCATGCCTTTGTTTTTTTTGCAAACAATCAATCCAATGTAATCTTCATGGGAATCCTTTTGTCCCCGCTGCTGAATCCATCCTTCGAAGTTGCCACAATTGAAATCAGATCAGTGTCCTGGGCGATTTTACCGGGAAGCTTCTGGTTTTGCGTTAAACTGAGGGGAAGCTCCAGATGGTTTCGGGGTGTCGTTTCGGTTTCATGAGCCACCCGTGGCAAGGGGCTCCCCTGATCTGAGCCGGAGGACCTCCGTAGAGATCGAGATCGAGGTCATGAAGGCGAACACGGAGGTCCAGAAGGATCCCCTGCTGCGGCCGCGCCCCGCTGAGAATTCGGACACCAAACACGGCGATTCTCCTTTGGTTTTTACGCCAACCCCCCAAAAAGGATACCCTCAAAGGCCCAAACCTTTCCAAGACCCTTTGTTGAACGAGCTGTTGGTGGTGGAAAGACCCTGCCCTTGCCTTTGGTGCCTTTGAAACAGGTGTCCATTTCAGGTGGGTGATGTGGGGTGGACTTGCTGCAGTCGTGCTCTTTTTTTGCTGGAGGGGTCGTCTGAAAGGGAAGCCAATGGAAGCACTTTCAGCTCAGTTGCTCAAAGCGAATCGACCTTTTGACCTTTCGGATTTCCTACTTTGCTCCATTTTTTCGTCATGACCCCAAAACGTGATCACCTTTTATTTCGGGTTTCCGGTGATTTGGGGACATTCGCAAGGTGAAGCCTCGGATTTTCCTGCGGTCGAGGCCCCGCACCATGGGCGGCATCTGCCTTGCCGCGCTCTGCATGATCTTGGGCGCCACCGTGGGCGCGGCGGCGCCTCGGGTTCGCCGAAAAGTGGGGGAGGGGCGAGGGGCTGGGTGGAAGATGTTTTCAGGGTTTTTGGTTTCAGGGTTTCAGGGTTTGAGGGTTTTCCTTTTGCAGGGTCTTGCCAATACTTCCCTTTTTGGGTTCTAAAGATCAGCTTTTGGCCCGTTTATGTTTTTGTCGGGGTGATGTGTTCCTCGGGGAAGTATGGTTGGAACTCTGGCTTAGGCGGGCTTTCGGGAAAGGAACCAATTTTGGGTCCTGGTGGGAATGTGTCAAACTCATTTCAACCCCCATGATGGGTTTTCCCATTAGACCAACCTGAAAGAAAGAAACCCTCAAAAAAGCCTTCACCCAAATCACAGGTGGTGCTCTTGATAAGTTCCCGTGTGAGTCAGGCCTTTCTTGAAGTGGTTGACGTGTGTCCTTTCTTTGTACAATCCATTTCGGGCTTTGCAGGCTTTTCTCAAGTTGGACACCTGTGCGGCGCTCTTTCTTGCCTTCGGGCCTTGTCATGCCTTACTCAATTGGCATGGATGTCCATGTTTGATTCACATGACCAGATTCGATGAAAGCAAGTCACATGATTATATGCAAATACACACACAATTTCACCTATGTCGGAATCTGCGCAAGTTTGTACATTTTTGTGCCTGGTTGCTTTTTTGACAGTGGCAAGGGAAGCTCGGCTTTTGTTTGGCAGCTGAGATCTCTATTGGCCCTAAAATGACCCCAGGTCTTCTTCGGACGCCAGTTTGACGCGCAAATGAAGGGCTTATATCTATTCTGAGTTGGGCATGGCTCGTCAGGACCGTTTGGTCTGCTGGGGGGGGGGGGGTGGTGGGCTACCTGAAAAACATAGACATAGGCTCCGGCTTTTTTCGGGTCCCCGTTTTTGTGAAGAGGGGGGGGTTGGAAGGAAACCCAACAATAGCACCAGAGGGGTCCAACCCACGAAACCGCAGCTTTTCGGATTTGAGGTGGGCTTCTTTGGGCTCTACTTGGAGCCTTCTCTGCTGATGGCGGAGCACCTCGATTTGTTCTCTGTTTTCAGCTGGCCGATTTCTCTTGATGTATTTGAGCGGTCTCAAAACAAGGTATCACGGGTTTCATGGGAAAACATTTGCCTCAAACCTTCTGGGTTAGTTGAACATTGGGTCCTGCATGTCTTCCAGCGGGCCCTAAACTGGCGAATCTGATCAAATCTGTAGCTTGGGTCCTTTGCTTGGGGATCAGGGATCCTTTGCTTCAGGTTTGGGAAGCATAGTAGAATTGCAAATGGTTGCTGAGAATGCCAAAGTTTTGGTTGGTCGCGCCCTGAGTAGCTCAATTTGGAATCCAGGACGGCGGGAAAGGCGGATGTGGACAGAATCGGTTTTCAGAGACGGAATATGAAAATAGGGGAAGGCCCAAAATGGGTGGCCTCCTTTTCAGTTTAAGGCAAGGGTACCATACCAATTCGCAGGGCGATGGTCCGAATTTTCCAGCACCATGTACTTTTAGCCTGCCGTGTTGGGGATTCCATCTTATCGCATATTGCTAATTCGCTTCCCCAATACTTGGGCCTGGTCGGTATGAATGGTTATTGAACCCGGACATGATGTCAGGTATTCCTTAGTTGGCGAACATGTGCCGTTCAGCAACGGTCGATATTCGCTCGAAAAGCTCAACAAGCTGCCACCAGTCAAAGGGTGTCCAATTGAGGCCCGCTATACTTTGGGGTTGCTGTAAAGGGAAGCCGCAGGGAAAACCGGCGCATTTCTATTGTCCGCTAATTATAGACAAACCAGTATTTCCTCTTTTGCAAATTTAAACATCACCCTTGGTTGCCAAATTTGACTCAGCTTCTCTTTGGCAGGGTGACGTTTGAAGCGGGCAAACTGGGAACCAATTTTAAGACATACCCAAATGAGCTGTCGTAAGCAAGCCCTGTTCGGATTACTTGAATGCTTGATAGAGCAAGGTCCATTTGGAGGCACATTCGGAATGTTTGGCTCTGAGAGTCCGGAAAAGCCTTCCTGCGGATGCGGCGGGGGGAGTCTTGAGACCTCTCATGTGACATGACTAGATTGCAGGTATTTTTCCCTTAAATCGGGCGATGTTTATGTGGGCAATGCAATGACCCGCTAGGAAGCTTTCCATCACTTCTATCTTGCTATCTTCTCCTTGGCCGCAGGGGGTTCTTCACTCTGCTGTGAGCCATGGACCTTTGTCCAGCAAAGGTGATCCGGATCCACTCTAACATGGGACGCCCCCCGTGAAGCAATCAGGACTCGGGCCAAAGCTTGGCAACTCTGCGGTGTACTGAAGGATTTTTATTCCATAGACCCTCGGGCCAAGGCCAAGTGTGCGGTGTACTGAAGGATTTGTTCCCTAGGTCCTGGGGCGAGTCCAAACAGCTTGAGGCAGTGCGAGAGCATCAAGCCGATCCGACACCTTGGCCTGGATGCCGTGCATATCTACACCCTCATCATCAGTTTCTATTGCCCGGGCCGTGAGTCGGGGAGAGAGCTGGAGTCGATAGACAAACTTGGGCGGAAAGAGGAAGAGGTTTGGCCAAAGATGATCTCGAAACCATTCAGCAGGCCCTGTTGGGAAGGCCGTTACCATCGGATCTATTGGTTAATCTGAAACACCAGACACAGAAGCGTGCAGCTGGGAGCAAGAACCACATACCATCATCTTGTCAGGGAAGCGCCATTTCCAATATGAGCAACGGCAAATATTTACTGTCATTTATATACAGTAGTCATTCTCTCCGCACCAGCTCGGATGAATGAGACCCTATAAATGATGGGGTAAACCACCGTTGTCCATCCACAGCAGGGGGACTGTGTTTCGGACCTTGGGGTAAGTGTAGATTTCTCGAGGGTGTCATGCTGCTTTACTGTGGCACGATTGTTCGTCATGTGACGTTCTGAATGGGTCCACATTGGTTCTGAATGGGTCCACATTGGATTCTTAGATCAAGAATCCCTGGCTTCGATTCGAATTTGCGGAGAAACTGTGAGCAATCCGGGGTTAACAGGGACACCTTAGGATGAAACCTTCCATTTGAAGGCAAACCTAAGAGAACCTGCAGAATCCTGGAAGAAACCTACAGGCTTAGACAAAGCTAACGGGATCCAGGATCTGAATCTAACCCACCTGATCAAAAAGCTAAAGGGGGAGGAAGGGCAAGAGAAAGCCGAAGAAAGGACCTGGAGATTTCGACCGAAACCGCGGAAGCCCTGGGAAAATATGGAACTTTGTCTTCCTGTTGCTCAGTAGGGCGGTGTATATCCGGGTTCCATTTCTGGTTCTTTGCATCTCCCGCACCGATCGCAAGTTGTACCTCCAAACGCGGCCTCCGCGGATCAGCGCGACTCGCGACTCGCGACTCGCCACCCGCGTTCCGGCGTCCGGCGGCAGCTTCAGAGGCCACACCGTGCGCACCTCCGTGGTGCTGGAGGTGCTGGCGCCCTCGTGCCTGGCCGTGGCAGGCGCTCCGGCGCTTCGGCGCTTCGGCGCTTCGGCGCTTCGAGTCGTCCGATCCCGCTGTGTCGCTTTTGCAGGGGGTTCTGTTCAAAAGGGTTGTGTTGGTTCAGCAGGTGTTCGACTGGTGGTTCTGTTGTTCATGTTTCTTTCTTTTTGTTGGGGGGGGGGGCCGGGTTGTCCCTTGTAAGATAGGGCTTCGGTTTGTTCGTTCTTTTTTCTTCTTCTCCAGATGGCTTCCCCTGAGGCTCGAACCCAGTTGATTCACAATTGAAATCGGGCGATGAAAAACGGCCGTTGGAGGGAATACTGCACCCTGAATAGGAACTCCCCATTCATTTGACAGGTTGATGAGTCCGAGGTGGACAGGGGCCTTGTTTGGTGTTCATGTCGAAAGAGAAGACAGAAATAGAGAAAGAAAGAAAGAAAGAAAGAAAGAAAGAAAGAAAGAAAGAAAGAAAGAAAGAAAGAAAGAAAGAGAGAGAGAAAGAAAGAAAGAAAGAAAGAAAGAAAGAAAGAAAGAAAGAAAGAAAGAAAGAAAGAAAGAAAGAAAGAAAGAAAGAAAGAAAGAAAGAAAGAGAAAGAAAGAAAGAAAGAAAGAAAGAAAGAAAGAAAGAAAGAAAGAAAGAAAGAAAGAAAGAAGGA